GCGCAGATAGCCCTCATGTAGCTTTGCGCGAAATTCATAACGAACAAACCAAATTTTAAACTGAAACACATAATATTTATACATATATTTTAGTCAGTTTAGTGCTTCTAGTAATGGCCGAGATAAAAACAAATACATTTATATCATATATATATATATATATATATATATATAAATAAAGAGCTTATGAGCTTTTCACATTTTTCAAAATATTAAAATTTCATGTAATAAACAAAATATATCATTATATTGTGTATTTTTATACCTTTTCTCTGTCGTTAGGTGACTCGAAAGTGGCGAAAAATGACCGGGAATTATAAGGTTCTTAAAACTCGTAAGCTAGTATTGAAGTTGTAACGAAATATTATGAGTAGTTCAGACGTAACTGAGCTGAAAATTAAGATAAAAAAATGGGAAGAATCGTTTTATCGTGAGCATAAGAGAAAACCGGAAAAAGTGAGTATAATTATATTTTTTGCACATATAATTTGTTATATAATAATTTACTATTTTGAAGGACAATAACTTAATAAAGGGGCTGTATCACTAGTAATAGTATGATGTATATATATATATATAATTTGGTTTGCTCTTTTGCAGACAACAGTTAACATGCACTCTGCTCTGGAATTTGCAAATTTAACGTAACAGAAGCAGCTGCGAGATGAACAGTACTAGTGGGCGTAATCATATTTGTTATTACTATTAGCAATGAAGTTTGAACTTTGTAAGCTAGTAGTAGTAATTTAACAAAATGTAAAAATAATGGTATTTTTAGAGTTGGTGTGATACTACAATATAAAATAAATATTATATTTCATACTGATAAAACTTGTTTGTTTGTATGGTTCATCTCGTGATCCCAAACTGACAAAGGCAGTGAGTAGTTCATAAAGCCTTTAAAAGTTTAATGGGCATTTAAATAGTATATATTTATAAAACATCAAAGGCACTGAAGTAACAATGCTTAGTTTTCTATAACACTGAAACGTTTTTGTTAAAATAGAGTAGTGCTAAGCATGACCCAGTTGTTAGCATGTTGGATTGTGGATCTTAGGTTTCATGGTTTGCATCCCTTTACCACCAAATAAAAACTTTACACAAATATTTTTATGGGTATGGATGCATTATAAAAACAATGCTCAAATCCAGCTGTTTGGTCTGACAAGAGTTGGCAGTGAGTGGTATTTACTAGATGTCATCCATGGCTCTTGTCTGTTACTTCCAAATTAGTACAAATAGTCCTTGTGTAGTTTTGTCTTTAAGTTCAACAAACAAACATATGGAGTATTATATTTCTAATATTAATAGTCGTATTCTTTCCAATAGACTGTTTTTTGGTATTTGTAATTAATCTCCTAATTTCTAACACAAAAGTGCTTTTAATCATAGAGATAATTTTCTTTTGAATGTTTATAAATACTTTTATTTCTGTGCATTGTTTTTTAATTATTCTTTTATAAATGTTACCTGTTTGTTTTTTTGTTGTTTAACAGTTATTATATAATACTTATAAATAAAAACAGTAAAAAAAACATGTTTAGTAATTGCTTTGAATAGGTAACACAAACTGATCATAAAATGCTTACAATTAATGAAGCTATGAAAATTGGAATTTTATATTTTTGTTAAAGGTTTATTGTTTTTAATTTACACATTTTGAGTAAATATGTAAATATTCTTACACACCTACCCTTGAGAAAAGTAGAACTTTAGTCCTACTCTTCAGTATTAATGACAGCTATTCCTTTAATAAGCCAATCACCCTATTAGAAAAATAAAACTTTTAATTAATTGGAGTCTAATCTGTCATTTTTCCCAATCTTAAAGTTGTGTCCTTTTATCCCACTTTACTTAGAATACAGCACAAAGAAATCAGAAGTCCTAATATTGTGTGTAAAGATAATGTTTTATAATAAATTATCCCATTTTTAGTTGTATATGGACTTCTTTGTAACAGTGTAACCTATGTACTAAGGATGTTGTTCCATGTTTCAATTTTCATTGTTACTGAAATTAAAATGGGTTTGCATATTTTATAATTTCAGTTTTTCCTTAAACAACTAGTCAAGTACCTATTTGTTGACTAATAAAGTAAAGATTTGTTTGAGCTGAAGAACTAATGGGTTGTAAAAAAAAAAAAAGATAGACATTTCAGTTGAGTAATTGTACAAAATTGATCAAAAGTGATATTCATTAGTCAAAAACTGTAATATTTTTATCGGCCTGCTATATTTTGATTTTATTTTTAAATGCTGATCGTGGGTGGTGCTTTAACGTTAAAAAGAGCACAATAAAGGATAATTCAAAATTATAAACATTATTACAAGCTTATAAACTTCACACTGGAGAAGGTGTGTACAGTGAGATCCATATATCATTTAGGAAAGAAACAAATTATGAACTTTCATGCCACCCTAGCTCTACTTTTCTTCAGTTTTTATGAATATTTAAGCAACATTCCTCATTCTGAACAGTTGCTAGATGGAAACAAGACTGAACAAGATCATCACATTAATTCTGAACTTAAAAAAAATATGAGAAGTTTAAAGAATGATAAATCCCTTTGGCTAGATAATACTCAATCAAGGGTTTTGAAAGAGGTTAAGTTTGGATATTTGAGTCACTTGCTACTATATTTTTCTAAGTCATTAGTAGGCAGTTGCCAGAAGGTTAGAAATTACTCCTCATTTTAAGAGAGATGATCAAAATTTCCCCAAAAATTACAGTGGTGGGAAAATGTTTTGAAAGTCTGATAAAAGATGCCATGCAAAATCACATAACAAAGTTTAAATTTTTTTGAATAGGCATCATGGTTTTACTAGGGGAAAATCCTGCCTTACTAATCTTAGACATTCTTAGAAGAGATTATTGCTTGTATAGATGTGGTGTATCTGGATTTTTCAGAAAATATTTGGCAAGGTGCCTCATAGAAGACTTATTAAAAAATCTATCTCTATAGGTGTGGGAATAGATTGGCACATTGGATAGAAAACTGGCTAGATTGAAGAAAATAGAGGGTTATTATGAATAGAGTTTTCCAACTTTCTGTTCCTGTGGACTCCCTTTGCATAAGACCTTTGGGTCATATAGATGTCTTTTCATGAGCTTTTTCTGTTTTTCCACCCCTCAGATTCTTTTGGTGGATGAAGCTGTATGATTATGAATGCAATTTAACAGTTATTTAACCCCACTCTGAGTTTTATTCTCATCTTTTTGTTTTTTGAAGAAGACAGATTATTGGCAACCTGTCATAAGTCAAATGTTCTTAAACTACTTTTTTGTCATTTCTTGGTTCCAGATGGATGGTTTTTAATTTGAGGTGGTTGTTTTCTTCCAGGCTGTGAATAAACAAAGTTTGATGCATTTCTTCACATTCCAATCTGTCTGACAACCTGTTGTTTCTTCTGGTTTACATATGATGGTTGAAACTTTCAGTTCCCAGCCTTTACCTTTGGGTTGGCTATGTTTTTAATTGGGTCCCAAGGGTATTCACACAGAGAATGCATTTGTTGGACTTACATTTTCACTACATTATTAATGATTGAATTCTTGCCCCATCCAAGTAAGCTTCCTTGACTACTATCTCCCTTCTCCTTTGTGAGTCATTTTGTTTGAGTTGGCTGGTCAAGATTATAAGCCTGTCTTGATCCCCACCCCCTTCATCCAGTATCTGCAGAATCAGCCTTCTCTTTCATGTCTTCAAAACATGCAGTACCTGGTTACCATAGCTCTCATGTCTTTTTTTCTTCCTGCATGAAAGTAGGTTTCTTTTGGAAACTCTAACCTCTCTTGAGTCCCTCGTTCCTCTCAGACATGTTTTTAGGCATCTTCTTCAGTGAAGAATTCCAGGGATCCACTGTCTTCTCATGAATATCTTCCTCCTCATCACTTCTTGTTGTCATGGTGGCTTAATCAGTCCCATGTGATCCTGGACATCTCTTTTCTCTTCCTTCTCTGGATTATATTTGTTCATAGATTCCTCTCTGTCCAGATGGAATGCAGTAATGGATACCTTCACCCTTTCCAGGGTCTGGTCTCCAGAGGAGTTTCTTCTCCATATTAACATCCTTGAGATGTTGCTTGCCATCACTTTCTGTTTCATCTGTCTGGTCATATTGTTGTGATCCACTCAGATAGCTCCATTGTTGTTTCTTACATCAGCCATTAGGGAGGGACCTCTGTTTTCTGACTCTGAACTTTTGCTTTTGGGCCCACAAACACCACAATCAATTAAAATACTAGAACAAACTATGTTAAAATTTACACAAGTTTTTTATTGGTTGTACATTGTAAGGCTTGCTTATTTTGTTCATGTTTTGGTGAAATGTTGTGAATGAAATAAACAAAAGTTTTACTATGTACAACCAATAAAAAAACTTGTGTAATGGTTCAATTGGTTGTTGCCTGTCATAATCTGGGAGCTTTGATGTAGATTGGTTCAACTGTCTTGTCTTCTCTGGTGTTTCAGCGGACTTGTTCCGTCTTTGGAAATACACTCATTGATTCCTATGCGACTTTTTTTACCACCAAGCTTTTCTTCTCACCATTTCAGAACATTGCAGTTATAGATTGGTCAGGAGTGGTCCAATCCCTGTCTATATGTTTATGAACAACTTTCAGTCTTCTCCCCAGTCATTCTCCTTTTCTAATTCTTACAGACCTGTTCAGGGCCTTTTTCATCCATTGTCCTCTTCATCTGGTTTCTTTTCTGGACCGGACTATTTGATTTCTCAGGGCTTTCACATGTACAATTCCCTGTACTATCTTTCTATAATGATGTATTTTTGTATTCTTCCTTGTGGAAGAAATCACTCTGACATTTGTGCTTTGGATGCCTCTTGCACAGTGACTAGTTGATTTTATTCCCAAACCACTCCTTTCTTCCCAAAAATTGGCTTGCCTGGGAAGGTAATTAGGTGTTTCCTTTTTTCACTTTCTCTTCCCTTTCTTCTCTATATGATTATACTTACTTTGATTATCTCTTTTGTCCTGTTAGAGCACTTCACTGTTATGATACTCATACTGTTCTGTTAAAAGACAATCAGCATTCTTTTTTTCATGTCTTTGAATTCCTCTTTTTATTGTGACTTATCCCCTTCCACTTAGCCCATTTGGGTAAAACAACTCATCATCTTATATATTCTTGCATGGGAGATGATGCATTTTGTTTTTTCTTGTCACCTCCCATCAGGTTTATTATCTCACACCTTCTCTTGCCTCTACCCCTTGATGTCCCTTGCGTAAGATCTCACAGGCAGGGATGTGGATGACTCGCAACATATTTGTGTCCCATTACTTATACCACCTTGCAGTTTCATCTGCCTCTGGACTATTGCCTCCCTCTAGTCACTATTATACAATCTTCCCAGAGGCTCTAGGGAGGTAAGTTGTTGATTACTGTTTTCTTTAAGGTTCCTCATCACCGTTATTATATCTCTCTGATAGACAATTGAACACCCTATGTAACTGATGATGCCTCTCAAGGAATAGTTCACTCTCTCCCAAAATTCACATCAAGTGGGGGAAATTAAAGTGTTCAGCTCATCTGCCACTGTTCAGTGTCTGTTGTTGAGATGGAGTTTTCCATGTAATGATTTCAGCAGTATATACATTTCACCTTCTAGGCTGTACTTCAGAAAAAACAAAATAATAGCAGCAGGTGTGGTTCAGTCCCTGGCTAGCATCATCTGTTCCTATTTGCATAACCCATTGCATGGTCTATAAGTGTGGGACCTTATGTGGATGATAGAAAATTCCTGTTTGGTCCATGCACCTCTTCTATCTTTTCCCCTATGCAAATTCCTATCCCTACCTCCCTTTTCTTCTAATGAGGTAATGGAAGAAAACTTGCTTACCAACTCCCAAATCACTGGGAAGGTTGATATGGAGAGTTTCGTTTTGGGTCAATGTGATCCCACTGGCATGAGAATAAGTGGATGTACCCCTCGATTAGAAGTAGAATTGGGGTGTTTACCTAGAAGTATACTACACAAAGAACCAGATCATTCCTGGTGGTTGACATTATACTTGCAATGTCTGCTCTATGAATGGCATTATACTTAAAATGTCTGCTCTGTGAATGGCATAATACTTACAATGTCTGCTCTGTGAATGGCATTATACTTACAATGTCTGCTTTGTGAATGGCATTATACTTACAATGTCTGCTTTGTGAATGGCATTATACTTACAATGTCTGCTTTATGAATGGCATTATACTTACAATGTCTGCTTTATGAATGACATTATACTTACAATGTCTGCTCTATGAATGACATTATACTTACAATGTCTGTTCTATGAATGACATTATACTTACAATGTCTGCTTTATGAATGGCATTATACTTACAATGTCTGCTTTATGAATGACATTATACTTACAATGTCTGCTCTATGAATGACATTATACTTACAATGTCTGCTCTATGAATGACATTATACTTACAATGTCTGTTCTATGAATGACATTATACTTGCAATGTCTGCTCTATGAATGGCATTATACTTACAATGTCTGCTCTGTGAATGGCATTATATTTACAATGTCTGCTCTATGAATGGCATTATATTTACAATGTCTGCTCTATGAATGGCATTAGTTGAATGCTCAATCTAACAGGTACCTTAAAATACTGAATTGCATTCATTATTCAGAAGTGTTGTTGTTGCAGTTATTCATATACTCACTTTGAAACTCTGTTCTCCTAACTTACTTTTTCAATGGAAGTCATTGCAAGAAACATTCAGTAAAATTTTTGTACTTTTAAGTTATCAGCTTCAGTAATTTGAAATTTCTTCCTTAAAAATAATATTTTGTGTTCTTAAGTGTTAAATTGATTTCTTTTAACTTTCATTGGTACCCTAAGTAGTCTCTTGGTCCTTACTTAAAAGTTGGTTAGTTTTATTTGCATTAGATCTTCCCGGTAGTAAGTTTACTAGTTATCGTTTGTAAACTATGAGACATTTGATAGAATTTGCTTGTCTGTTGGAAGGTGTTCCTCAGTGTTAGGTGGATTCATTTTCAACCAAATGCCTATCTCTAAATTGACAAAGTTTCCCGACTTCTCTGTGAAAGAGTTAAGCAGAGCATTTTTGTATGATGACCACATCTCAATATCTAACCCTTGATGTTGACATTATTACCAACAAAAGTTTGCTAGCAGGGTGAATTTCTGAGTTTTTTTTAGTTTTGTGCTTGTTAATTACTTTTACAAGTATGATACATTTATTATAAATGTATAGCTTACACATAGTTAGTGATCAAAAATAATAAGATTATGCTCTCCTTCAAGTCACACAGTTGTTAAAAATCATATAATTGAATTCTTTCAAATCATATACCTGTAGTTTGTTGTTAAGAACTATATGATTATCTGAAAATGTCCAGTTTTTGATAATTTGTATATTAAGCAGTCTTCTTAGGAGCCCTGATGTTATTATATTTTTGTTTTTAATTGATGTCCCCCTCCACTGTTATGTTACATTTTTATGAAAGTTTTCTTTGTTTTCTGTTTGTGCTTTTTTCCTTGTTTACTCCCAGTAAACATAACTATTAAATCATACACAGTTGTATACAAATTCCTATCATTATATCATGTGCTTATTTGTTTCTGTATTAATTAGTTGTTTATTTCTTTTTTTAAGGATGATATAAAAGCTGCTTCAAAAGACGTTCAAGGTAATTTCATTAGTATATTAACACATTTAAGTTTTTTTTTTAAACTATAGTTTGGACTTTGGTATAACCTATACGGAGGCATAGAGTGACTTTGTAAGTTGGTGATTTCCCAGAAAATTAACTGCACCCATGATTGGAAAACTATAAGCTTGTGGGCTGGGGTATCCTGTACAGTTGAGAGTTTTAAGTTGCTTTGGTATGAAATCTCGGGTTTTTTAAAAATTTGTTCAAGAAAATAATACAGTAAATGGAAAATGAAAAAAACTTTTACACTCCCAGAAAACTGAAAAAAATTACTTTACAATTGTTTCAGTTCTACATTTTGTAAATATGAACTACTGATTAATAACTGAATAAAATCCAAATATGTTATGTGTAGAGTTTTAAAAAGTCATACATAGTAAAACTTTCTTTACAACAGGTTAAATGAATTATAAAAACAAAATTTCACTCTGTTTTATGGCTTGCACTGATTGATTACAGAGTCACTGCCTTAGGAAGAAAATGTTTAGGAGTGATAAGAAGCTCCCTATTGGCCAGAATTGTATGTATACTACTGCTTCAGCCAATGAAAATTCTGAAAAATGTATACAGCTATTAGTAACATAAAGAAAAATTTCATAATTACAATAGGTCAAGTGGGGTAGTGGAATTATGGTAATGTAGAATTAAAGCAATGAAACATTGTTGGGAAGAGCATAGAAATACTGGTATTGCACAGCTCGCAAATTTTTAAAATTGATGGTGCATTTGCACAATCGACACTATGCCCTGATCCTGTATAAACTATTGTTTTAAAGTAGTAAATTTCACCCATAAGTAAATGGGCACAGAGCTTTTAATTTAGGTATTTAGGGATCATTGTCTCATACTTTTTGAAGAATAACTGACCATTATAAATACATTTATTTAATTTACATAAGCATAGGAGAATGGGGATAATTGCAGAATATTTTTATTGTGAGAAGTAGTTTGAATGATAATTATGCCTTTAAAAGTAACTTGGTAATAAATATTTCAGATTTGAAAAAGAAAGATAGCTTTAAGAGTTCTACATAAAAGTTATATGTAACATGCTATCAAAAGTGAGGTGAACTGTCTGAGTACTGAGTAATTACATGAATGGTTATTATTTATTCAAGAATAATTTATATCTATTTACCATAACTAGACCATTACAAGATCTACTGGAAACTACGTAATGCAGTCCAACTGAGTGAAAAACAGGTATGTTAGTTGTCTTTAATTTTAGGACAGGTTTTGAATAAACTAGTGTTTGTACATAAATTCACATTATCTTTTAATTCAACATTAATTCATAATCTGAAAGAAAAAAAAAAGAGTTGTGATTTTTTAACTCCTTCAAGTCAATACTCTCCCCTCCCTAAAAAAAAAAGTACTAGATTGACAGTTTGGTCATTAGACAAGATAATTTCAAAAACTCCTGAGCCCTTGATCCTATATAAACTACTGTTTTAAATTAGTAAAAATTTACATAGTTTTTAATTTAGGTATTTAAGATATATATATATATATATATAAAGTACTCTCAAAGCATTGAAATTTTGCCAAAAGTCCTCATGACTTCTGTGAGCATATACCTAAAACATATCTTGAAGCAATAAGTTAAAGATTTGACAACAAATCAAATACATATACTCGCGTACTAAGGTTGTTTATGAATGTCTTTCATATAGTGATTTTATTATGTTTCTAACATTTTACTTGCATTAATCAAATCATATACAGATTGACCAAGGGAGTAAAATATATTAGTAGACTATTCATTCAAAATAAGGAATGCACTTCAAATGTATATATAAAGTATATATATATGTTAAGTACTATGGAATTGAGGTGTTTAAGTTCAAGTTAATAGTATTTATTTATATTCAAGGCTTATAATGATTATAGTTGTGTACTAAAGAAATCTGTCATTCTAAACCAGTGTTATGAGCTAGTGTACATAAATATTGCTTTCAATTTATTAATATTATACTTTACTTTGAATAATAGTTAAATAATCAATATTGTGTGCCGTTTATGTTTATGTAATGAAGAGGTAAGCATTTGTAATTTCAGGTATAACTTGGTAGAAGTTCTAATTTTAAAAAATATATAACTACATGCTTATTTTAATTACTTAGAATATCTACAATTTGCTGTATTGGATAGTTTCACCTAATATATAATACATGAATCTAAAAGTGTTATGACTCAGTGATATTTTGGTTTCTTCATAGGATGACCGTGTGTGGAACAGTTCTCTGAACAAATCTGTAAATTGTGCAATCAATAGTAAATCAGCTGCAAAGAAATCAGCAGTAGTGCATTTTGCTAATAAGCTTAGACAGAATTTTGAAATAAACAAGTCAAGGGTAAGTTGATTTGCAAAATAATTCAACAACTTCAGAAAATTCCTCGTTTCTGTTTGATATATTTTGCTGTTCTACAAAGTTACAGTTTGCATAATTCAAACTTTTAAGTTACTATTCATTTCACTAAGGTTCAAAAATTAATATTGAAAGATAAATAAAAAATTGGGAATTTAAAAACATAGAAAATGGGATCACAAAAAAAGTAAGGAAACAAGGTTGGAGGTAGTACTGTAGACATTATTTACTAAAACTACAAACCCCTATTTTGGCTTCATGATGTTACTTAGAATTACTTTTGATGGAATCAAGATAGAGATTTATAGTTAATGAAGTATTTTCATAAAAATTTTCTTTGTAAATTTATGGAGTCAAAGTGTTAACTCCTTCCTCCAAGTGCAAGTGATTTTCTTGTTAAGATTAAAAGTAGTTTTCTTCAACTGAAAATTGTCAAATTTCATTTTTGTAAACTCTCAAACCTCCTAAACATATTTCAAATGTTTTATGTTTTCTCAGTAAAACTTTATATTTTATCTTATTTTCCACCCCTTAATGCTATACAAGGTTGTTCAATATGACCGATGTAACCCCAGAAAAAAACAACAAAATAAATTTAAATTACCATTTTATTCTTTCTAGAATGACTTCAAATTGTAACATGAAGCTACATTTGTTTATCATAAACAAGTTAAACTCATAACAGTACACATCTGTTTCAAATTAAATTTTATTGTTTTATTGCCCTTTGAACTGTGTATAGCTAATAATCCCACCACACAAATTGTAAGTCATTTGGCAAATGTGTAGCTCAGGGACCCTATCAAATTATGCAAGGCACAAACTACTTGCAAAGTGTAACTTGTGAAATTTTATTATTATTTTTTTCTTTCTTTTATCTAATCTAATTTTATCTAACTTAAAAAGTTTCTAATTGTTACAAAATACACATATATAAAGAATACACATGAAAAAAAGGAAATAAAGTACTTACTTGGGTCTTCTTTTTTTTTTGCTGTCAACTGTTGATGAAACTTAGCTCTACTTTTTTATACTAGTGGTATTACTGTATTAAATAATTTTCTGTTTAATTAAATAATACACCTAAGAACACAATAATAACACGTATAAAGCAGACAATGTCCTATAACTGTCATAATGTTTCTGGCTTTCTAACTATACAATAAGAGCCATTAAAAATTCAACTCAGCTTCTCAATGTGTTTCCCATAGGAATAAAGCTTGAGGTAAAAGTGAAATACACAATTCTCTGTACAGAAACCAATGTAATATAATATGTCATTTGATAGATTAAAACTGGCTTTCTATTGGTTATAAATAATATAGTATTAAATGGTGGAGAGAACTATAGGCAATTTGGGAAAAAGTGAGGATAT